CTGTCCCCCACCTGCAGGTCCTCCAGATGAGGATGCCTGTGTGCCTGCAGTGTAGCGGCAGGCACCGTGGATAGAGAAGGTTGCACCTGGGTCTGCGATGGACCCACTGGACTGCCGCCGGTTAGTGGCACACCATACCTAGGATTGAATGGCCCCCGTGAAGGGAGGCAGCGTCATCAGTGACGGCTTTATTATCCGAGCGACCGGTTGCGTGACACTGGAAGGGGCAGTGGCCTTCCCTGCCAGTCGGAGTGGAGCGAGTATCTGGTCATGACCTGCGAAAATGGACTTTAACTTGTTTGCTTTCTAAAGACTGCATGGTCTCATGAAGGACCAGCATATGCTTTCTGAACAAGGCTTCCATAGGTTGTTCCAGCGTAGACTCCTGCACCTGTTCTAGCTCCTGTCTCTTATACACATCTAGATGTGTATAAGAGMATGGTCTCATGAAGGACCAGCATATGCTTTCTGAACAAGGCTTCCATAGGTTGTTCCGGCATAGACTCCTGCACCTGTTCTACCTCCGTTCTGACGTGCTGCCTGCTGCCTACTGCCCAGTATGCCCTTTCTCTCTCTAACCCCTGTCTCTTATACACATCTAGATGTGTATAAGAGACAGTCCATAGGTTGTTCCGGCATAGACTCCTGCACCTGTTCTACCTCCGTTCTGACGTGCTGCCTGCTGCCTACTGCCCAGTATGCCCTTTCTCTCTCTAGCTCTTCTGGCTCTATCTTCAGCATCCCAAAGCTGGGATTCGAACCATAATATGCGAAGGGCCTCAGGCAAGGTTGTCCACCCCCAGCCGGGGTCCGGGGTTCCGGACTGCGCCCACCCCCCTCCCCACAGACAAGAATAAAGGAACACAAAGATGAAAAAAAGTGGGGGGTGCACAGCGACGGCGTGCATTTCCTAATTAATCAGACTAGGCAGATATCCGTTACTACCTGCCTATCTCAGTCAAGCTGCCTAATTAATCAGACTGGCAGTCCGCCCATCTAACTAATCAATAAGAAAAGTGCTCATCCGATACTACAGAAATTAACAGAATGGCAGAGAATGCATGAAAGATGGAAAAGTACATCGAATACAAGACCAGCTTTCAGCTGGAATCTACCGCTTTCTGTGTCCCTCTTGATCATCATTCCTCACGACATCTTCAGACACAAAAAATAGAAAAGCAGCAATGTTGTATAGTGACGACGGCACAGCCCTGTGCCCAAGCAGGATTCGACGGCTGACCAGCCGGGTTCACAAATTCTTTGAAGTCGCGTGCTGTATGAACCGGTTTCCCCGCTGGAGCGTTCTTTGGAAGAGATGGTCTGGTACTTGTCTTCCCCCGAAGGACTGGCCAGTCCGCAGCCACTTGTACAGTGCAGCAAGAGCAAAAGGATTTTCAGTGCATGCATGTCTGCTCTACTCGCATGGGTTGGCTTGTGTCATGACGTGGTGCGTCTTCTCCTCCCTGGGCACTTCAAAGCCACCGCCCTTCGCCCTCCAAATTGCGCCGGAAGAATGTCTACTCAAGGTAGAGTGATCTCTCACCCCTAACCAAGAGAGGACTCTCAAGAGAGCGGACTCAATTCCTCACGGAGAAGATGTAATAAAGGACTGTAGTTAAGGTTAGATGCGACGTACCTCAAATGCTGCCCACAACCACAAATTTCCCACCAGCGGTGAAGACATGGACTTCTTCGTTGACCGGTCAAAGCGTCGGGACCACCGACAGTACAATGCAAGTGCCCGTTGCTAATGTCTTGTCATCTCGCCGACGTCATCAATCATACACGCAAAATTTGGCAGAAAGCATCCAGCCGTGTCCCTCTCTACCCAGGGACAGACCTCACTTCCATGCAGCTCGATCGTACTCGCACTGCACGGGAACCAACCCCACGTGCACCGAAGAAACGGAGACAGGTCTGGCGCCAAACGAGTAAGACTACGATCCAGCTCCGATACCAAATTGCAAGGAAATGAGCAATGCGGATGACAGTAGACCAAATTTGCAGCATTCCGTAGAAATCCAGGTGACTTGAGACCGAACTGAAAGCAGATTGGAACGCGAGATAACACCAAGTATGAGCAAAGCATGGAAGTCGTATGATAATCAAAGCCCTCTTCTTGCCTCCAACACCAATATCACCGTTGTCGCTCTCCTCTATCGGCGCTCGGCGCCCAGACTACCAGCAGCAGGCTCCTATCGGCCTAGACTCCTATCTGCAACAGGTCTTCCATGAAGAACATTAGCCCGATGACGAATGAAGACTCTGCGCGAGACGGCCCGCCCCTTCAGCACTAGGTAAACGCCTCATGCATCACCCCTTCTCCCAGACTTCCTTCACAGTCGCCCTGCCCAAGGACCTCTCCCTTCCTCCTCCGGCTTTGGTGCCAGAAGCCCGGCTATGGCGGTTGCGCTCCGCCTGCTGTGCCCTCACAGCCTCTCCCTCGCATGCCCTGCCAGCGCCGTCTTCCCTGTGGCACAGCTGTTGTCCAGCGGGTGACCACTCCGGCAGCAGCTGCTGCTGCCCAGCCAGCCAGAATGTGGGAAGTGAGGCGTCACTTCCTCTTGTGCCTGCTGCGAGGCTCGTGGCCTGGCTGGATGTGCTGCGCCCTGACCCAGTTGTTGCGCCCAGGGGCATTCCAGAAAGTGTTCGGGGCTCCGCTTGAAGCGCCCTGGGCCTCAGCATCTTCGCTGGGCCCAAGCATCTGCAACCAACCGAGCTATGCTGCGTGCAGCAACCAACCCACGAGGCCCTTTCTGCTCACATCGGCCTCAGAATAGGCTGTGAAGAAATTGCAAGCCCACCTTCACTTAGGGCGGGTGTGGGCCCGTTTCCAGCATGCTGAGGGCCCTGACGCTTCGCAATGTAACTTAATAAAAAAGAAAGAAAATTCCCAAACCGAAAATCTCCCCCCCCCCCCTCTTCCCCCRAACGCCGCTCCTTGAACTTACCAAACCCCACCAGTCCGTCCCCGGGAACGTACCAAATCAGCAGTCACTCTGGGACATTGAAAAATGTGGTCCCATTGTTTGGATGTATATGGCTGCAATTCTAGGAAGGGAAGGCTTCGTATTTGGTCGTATAGGGGTATCGCTGCACCATTCACTGAATGCACGGATGACAAAAAATATGGGGGTGCATCTTTGCATGTTCTAGCGGATGATTCATTCCCAATTTTGGACAATTGGTGGGTGGTGCGGCAGGGCACTAAATGCACCGAAGAAAAAAAGAGAGAAACCGTACGACTGATACTCTGCTGAATTGTACACACATAAAGCTGTCGAAGAAACAGATTGTGAGTTTGAATCCTTCGCGCAGGAATTAGACGAAGTCAATAGTGTGAGGGGCTGGTGAGCTGCTTGTTTTTCAGAGAAATTTGTGGGAAATTGGGGGGGGGGGGAAAAGAACGACAGAGAGGGAGAGAAAATGGGAGACAGAGGGACAGAATATGCATATTGTGATTAGATCGATGGATGAGAACATTGTTTGTTTGAGGTAATGTAAGGACCTGCTTCATTGGTCTCAAATTCTCAAAGTTTTAATTAAAGTTTAAACTTGAAATCAAGTAGATTGGTTTTCCAAGTTTTCGGTTTCGATTGCACGAGGGTGATTGCTCGCGTGATAGTTCTTGGAAATTTCTGACCTAATTAATGGCTTTGATTGGTTGGTGTGGTTGCTCCACTGATTGGTTGATTGGTTGAATATCCTACTTGATTGCTTGGTCGGTTGATTGCTTGCTCTGATTGTTTGGTTGATCGGCTGATTGGTTGATTGCATGTTGTGATGGTTTTGCTTGATTGGTTTATCGCTTGCTTTGATTGCATATGATTGGTTGATTGCTTGTTTTGATTGCTTAGTGGATTGGTTGATTGCGTGATTTGATTGCTTAGTGAATTGGTTGATTGCTTGGTCGACAGGATGATTTCTTGCTTTGATTGCTCGGTTGATTGGTTGATTGATTGCCTTGATTGTGTAGTCGATTGGTTGATTGCTTGCTTTGATTGCTCAGTTGATTGGTTGATTGCTTAG